AGTGAACTACGGCTCAGTGTAGTAAATGCTGCTCCATCTGAAAGCACGTGCTGGAGATTTAATCACAGAACCGACTTTACTGACAAGATGCGCATGACAATCACATTCGATTAATTGTGCAGCCCTAGTGTGGATAAGCACTGCCTCTGCAGAAGAAGATCAATGCCTACTTTTACATGACTGCCTGTTTAGCCCCGCCCACAGATTTGCGCATAGAGTTGGTAAATGACAAGAGCGGCAAATGCAGGTCTACGCAGAAACCAAACGATAAACTTTATTTGATTAACTTTATTTTTTAATTAAGTGCCAGTTAGCGTCAGTAAGAACTTGGTCCTTTGTTCACTACATTTTACTGCGGATTTGTTTACAAAGAACAAAACGCGGGATTTTCAGAAAGATTTAAACTAAAAGACGATGATGTGCCGACTATATTGGATTCGACACAAGTGTGAGTAACTGTTTTTATTACGTGATCACTATTGCTTTGATTGTTAGTACAGATCGTTTGATATGTACTGAGTATTTATGTGTTTATAATCTAAATCACATCAGCGTCCAGCTATGAAGGATGTAGCCTGTCAAACATACACAACTATTAGCCAATCATAGCAGTAGGCATTTACTTTTGTTCCAAGGCTGGCCGCACACTAGACGATTTTAAGGTCGATTTTAAGCTCGATTTGCATCCCCGAACGATCGGGGGGTGTGGCCCGATTCGCGGCTTGTTGCAAACGATTTTTTGTCCAAAAAATCCTCTGTTGTGTGGTGTCATTATGATTATTTATCTGCTCCCGATCGAGACAGAGTGTCGCCGAACTCAAATCGTAAATATCAAACATGATAGGGCTGCCTCTGACGTGATACCCGCGATAGCCAATGAGAGCCAGCAAGCGTCACCTACCGGATGTTACGTGCTTCTATAGCTGAAACTTGGCAGCCACAAACATGCCATGAAAGCAGAGAATATCACCCATATTCCTTTTTTTATACTTTGTTTTTCACTGTGAAACAGAACGCGCGCCAGGAGAGCCAGCTGACAACGTTGATTGTCCTCTATTTGTCTTTCTTCTCTAGTCACGTTTGATCTCGCGAGTCTCCGTGAGATCACGTGACACTGTGAAATCGTTCTTACGATCAACAAGTGTGTGGTCTCATGGTCTGGTCGAATCATCTAGTGTGCGCGTTCAGAGGATTATAAAAATCGGTTGAACTGTCTTCCATGGTTTTAAAATTGTTTAAGATTTGAAAATAGTCTAGTGTGCAGCCAGCCTAAGTCTACAATCTGCCACACCTGTTCAAACAGAGCGTTCTGTTTGGGGGGTTAAAACAGGACAGAAAATAGACTATTACTCCGAAATTATGTTTTTTGATGTACAAATCTTGATAACATTAAAAGTGGTCCTCAGAGAACAGTACAAAGCAATAAAAAAGGCAGTTCATGACCACTTTAATATTCTGAGTAGGGATGCTCCGATACTGATACTGGTATCGGTATCGGGCCCGATACTGAGCTCCTGGTTACTATATCATATTACCATTCTCAAAATAAGAGGAGAAAAAGCAATATGTCAAATAGCCAACAATATCTGCAATGTACAATGGCAGGTTTATTGGACACTTAAATCAGAATGTGTGCTAGAGAAGAGGCGAAATGCAGAGGGTGTGTGTGTGTCTAAGTGCATTGGTTTATGGGTGTGGGGAGGTGAAGTTCTTGCAGAAGAGGTGTGTCTTCTTCAGTTGTTTTTTAAAGATGTGATGACTCACAAAATTCAAATCAAATTCAAACAAAACTCAAAACAAATAGGAATAACAACTGTGCAAAGTACCAAAGCCAGTATGCAGATACACATGCAGATACACATTTTTGAACAACTATCATGCAACAACCCTCTACATTGTGAGTAAATCACTCGCATATGCGACTAAATCTTACTCTGAGCGACTAAATAATGTCTAACATTAGCCATTGGCTAATAAATTCTTAGATTTTACACGCCAGTATGTGTGTGAGAGGCGTTCAACACAGATTTTCACTCGATAAACACGCTGACTGAGCGCTTGAGAGTTTCGCTCTCCGTCAAGCGATCTGTACTATTTGGATGCGCTCAATGGATCATGTCATGTACTCAATGGATGCGCAGTATGTAGCACGCAGCGCACCTGTATTTGACGTACCGTAAACTAGTGTGAAGGCGCACAACTCGCCGTCGAGTAAAAGTAGCGTCATATCACATACACAGAACTGTAAAGGTATTCACGGCAACCCGTCAAAATAAAAGTCCGGTTTGATTTGAAGACATTGTGCTTATAACTATTTTTCAGTAGAATGTACATTGCCTACTACTACTACTACTACTAATACTAAAATGAAACAAACATTTTTTAAGGAATAATCACAAAACATTTCTTCAATGTTTTAATTTTAATAGTAAATCCCCTTTGTTTGCTTAATTTTCAATAATTAAAAGATAAATAATAATTAAAATTAATGTTTTATGCCTTCATTTGATAACCAGAAAAATTAAGAACATTTTATAGGGCCCTCTTATTGTTTAAAAAAGGACCCTATACAAAAAAAAAAAAAGATTAGGTTTAAAATACAGGCATGTGGTTCTTAATTTCTTTTTATTAATTCACCATTTGT